TTCCTTTCAAGGCGTGGTCTCGCCCGTGCACGTCTACGCCAATGCGCGTATTCGCGCCCTTCCTTTCGCTCGATTATTGCCCGTCCAGGGATTATCTTCTCGTATGATCTTGCGCATGTTACCACTTGCACGTTCGCCTGATCACGGCCATCCCATGTGCGCGCTGTCCACCCAACATCCTCCCCTCGCGCACCGCTCGTCTCCTCCGTCAAGTGAACGCCCAAGGCCTTAGCCTCCAAGCGTCGTGCGCGTTGCTCCCTTGTGTACGCCTTGCACCAGTCGACCGCGTCACCCGAGCCTTCAAGCCTCGATCTCTTGAGCTTCTTGCTCGACCTCCTGTGCCATCGTGCATGTTGGTATCCTCGTATACGGGTTCGTGCACGTCGCTTAGGCCATGCATGCGTAGTTTTGGCCCTTTTTTCAGCCTTCTCGAGCCTTCTCGACTCTTGGACCTTCTTGTCGTCGGGGCTCGAAACCCACTTCCGCATCAGTGCATCACCGCGCAAAACGCATAGCGCGCGCATCCTTAGGCCGCTAAGCATGCACTTAGGCAATTCTTAGCAATTCTATTAAACCAAATTTTCTCCCTAACAATTACCGTGTGGGAAATCCTAAAGATAAACGTTGGGTGTGCAAGTGGGGTGGTGAGTCACCTACCTACTTGCACACACGGCGCGACACGCACGCACGGGCGATGACTAAGCCCGTGCATGCTTGACACCTCGACTAATGACTCAGCTCTGATCATCCCACCTCAGCCACGCTTGGGACACTTGTAATCAAGGGAGGTGTTGTCATCTTTCACCTCCTTTGACCCAACTTTACCCACGGCTTTTCACCATCCTTTAATAACCGAGCGTACACGTCCTTTTCATGCACATTTCATGCACCAAAATTCGACCAACTTCAGCATATAATTGAGAGAGAAAATAGCAAGGAAAAATAAGAGAAAAATAGTACAAAAATACCTAAGTATTACCGAAGCAATGGAGAAGCATAAGGACATTAAAGGACTACCATACACGCACGCACATCACCGAGTACTTCTCGACCGAACTGAAGGGTATACATTCCTTTACCCTCTTTTTATGTAGTTAAGTTCATATCAGTGAGGTCATGTCAAAATCATGTCGTTCAGTTTAGGTTTTGTATGAAAATGACCTCGGAGATGCCATATAAGCTCCCTCCGAGTAACTTCAATTTTTATCCGGCAAGTCCCGAACACTTTATGCATATTTAAGTAATTTAAGTCAAAACATTCCAGTCATAAGTGGATCGCCGGAAAAAGTAGCCGGACGGTCGATAAAACGCCGACCGTGATGCCTACCGCACGCGGTGTGCGCGCAGGCACGTCCGGCAGGCCAACGAGTACACAGGCAGCGTCCGCGCGCCCAGTAACGTGCACGCGTGCCCCGTACTCGGCAGCCAAGCGTCGAGATGCCGCAGTTATGCGTGTAGACGTGCGCAGTGCACGCCAACACGCTAGGCAACGCATGTCCGTGTACATCCGCGTACACAGCAACGCGTTACACGCCGAGCAGCGTGTCTTGCGATGCCAGTACGCACGCCAGCAGCGTACCTCGCACGCTGGCCAGTCACCACGCACGCCAGCACGCCCAGCAGCGTGCCAGCGGTGCCCAGCGAGCCTCGGCAATGCCCAGCAGCACGCCCGAGTGCTCGATGGTCCCAGCTTGTGTAGCCTACGCACTAGCCGCCTAGTCGTGATGCATAGATGCGTCCAGCAGTGCTCGTACGGGTCAGGGCCGTCGCCAGCGGGCACGGCAGTCACCAGTCGCACTCA